AATCGAGGCGAGTACTGCCCCACATGGGGTGATGGGCATTAAAATCTCCTAAAATTAAGAAGGGTTGAGGAAGCTGTCCTACAAGACCCTGAAGTTCGTGAAGTTGCAATGGAACGTTTGGTGGCAAATAAATGGACACAATTGTAATGAGGCGATCTAAAAGAAGGCGTACCGCTACAGCTTCGAGCGGTGTGCAGAGAGGGACCTCCGAGCAGGCAACCCCGCTCTGCACGACCACTGCTACGCCACCAGAACTGGAACTCAGACGATCTTTGCGGAACACTTGATAACGTCGTAAAATCTGTGTATGATGTGTTTGAAGATGAGTTTCTTGTAAAGAGAGGGCAATAGGCCGAAGATCATCCATAAAATAGTTAACGTCATCAATATTGGGTAAAAGACCAGGACAGTTCCACTGCATAAAATGCAAATTCTTCATTTATCTAAAAAGGTGAAGTGTAAAATTAAAAAGAGAGAGGAAATGAAGAAATTGAGAGTATGAAATTAATGGTTATTTGGGAGGGACCACTGGTTTTTTCCCTTTAGACTTCAAAGTCTGCCACTCCATGTCACCCTCGTCGGATGCAAGAGTGGGTGATTCAGCGGTATCATCCATTGCCCCTATTTCTGGAGGCGAGCCTTTGCCTGAAGGTTTTGGCTGGCTCGTTGCACGGGGTGGCTTGCCCCGGCCACGACCAGCCGAAGAGGCACCGGAGGTGCTGGGCAGAGTGTCTTTCAACTCTGCCTCCTCCGGCCCCTTGGGTACTGGGGGAGCGGCATGAGGGTTGTGCCGCTCTTTCGAAGAGGAGGTCCTCTCTGAGGAGGTCGGGCGGGAGTTTCGCCCCCTCTCCCCGGCAGAGGACCGCGATGTGCGGACAGGTGCGGCATTTGCCGGCCTGTCTAGAACCAGCGAAGCAGCATGTGCACTCCCTCCATGAAGAGGGGGGCACTGCTGCCCTAGCTGGGGAGTTGGGGCCCTGAGGACTGCCTCGAGAACCTCAGGTGAGACCTGGGTAGCCCTCGACTCCGAGCGTGGCACAAGACCCCTCCGTGCCACGTCGGCGTATGATCCCTTCGACATGAAGGAATACCTTTTCTTTGCTTCGCTATAGCTGATATTTTCTTTGGCTTTAATGGCAATGATTTCCTTTTCTTGCTTCCATGTGGGACAGCCACGATAGTAGGTAGGGTGTGGTCCATCGCAATTAACGCAGTGGGCCACATTCTCGCAATTGTCAGAGATGTGATCCTGACTGCCACACTTTGCACAAGTCGCCTTCCCTCGACAGCTGCGTGTTCCGTGACCAAAACGCTGGCAACGGAAACACCGCTGGGGGTTGGGGACAAAAGGGCGGATGTGGCAGTTCAGGTATCCAGCCTTGATTGTTTGTGGTAGTGTATGCCTCTCAAATGTAAGGATGACGTGTTTTGAGGGAATTTCTACACCATCTTTTTTGAACATAATCCGTTTTACTGCGACAACGCCGGCACCTTGGAGTCCCTCGAGGAGTTCTTCCTCACTAGTGTGAAGGAAGTCGTCCTCAGAGAGGACTCCACGGATGGTGTTCAGTGTGCGGTGAGGGCTCACCGACACTTTCACATCAAGTATGGTGTTCAGCTTGAGAAGCGCTTCACTTTGCTTTTTGTTATTTATCTCAACTAGGAGGTCTCCTGAGTGGAGTTTTTTAGCCTTGTAGGAAAACCCTACAAGGTGTTCAAGTACTTTGGCTACTACAAATGGTGAAAGCTTTGACACAGGTTTCTGTTCATCGAGGGAATGAACAACGAAAAACTTCGTGAAGTTTTCTACCTCTGGTTCTTTTTCAATAGTCTTGTGTTCAGGGCAGCGCCTTTTAACGGCTTGCCCCGAACGGGGTTTGGAAGAGAGGGGCGCCATATAAGGGCAAGGAGTGTTCGGAATCTGTGGCGCGCCGCCCACCACGGAGCCCAACGAGGGAATAGGTAATACCCCATAACAAATATGGCTTTGCTGGAAGCATTACTCTATTAGCGCTACCCAGAAACTATAACCAAGTGTGGATCTGGACGAGAGTATCTGTCACCACCCAAGGTTAGCCCTTGCCGCCAAAGAAGTTGAAAAGGAAAGAAGAGAAATGAGAAGAGTGAAAAGAAGGAGGAGACAAGGGTGAAAGAAGGGAGGGGATAGTAGAAGGAGTGGCGACTAGACTGAATCATCCTGGCCGGGCCTTACCAGGACTCCCGTCTATGAGAAGCGGGGGCCGAAGTGGTGTATTGCCTCGCCCGGGGGGCCCCGAAGGGTCCAAACCTACCCCGGGCTCGGCTCAACCACCAGGATGCCCTTTTCCCCAGACACGGGTAAGCCACGCACAGTCAGACGTGGGCGGGCGAACCCGCATGGCTCGGGGTCCGTGGAGACGCCACTCTCCAAACACCTGCTTTCACAGGTGCCCCCTGCGGGGTTTCGTCGGGGGGAAACGAAACCCATTTTCGGCTGCCCACTTGCTCATTCTGTTGATTGTCAGTTGCAGTTGACGTTCGCAACTATACAGGTTGCAAGAAGAAACTGAAATTTGCACATCATCCACATACAGAGAATAAGACACTGTCGGTGGAATATTTAGAATATTGGTGCTGAAACCCGGGACAAATATTCATTAAAATAACTGGACGATATTACTGCTTAAAGCATGGAAATGGGCTTAATGGGACGATGCCCGTTTCAAGCTCGCACCGTGGCGAGAGAGGTTGGGACAGTCAGGTCAGGGAGGTTGGGACAAAAGGCGAAAACGAATCACCTGACTAGGTCCCCAACCCCCGTTACAGCACTCAGCAGCAGGGCACAGGAAATGAATCAAAAACAGCATAAATAAAAAATAAAACAATATCTGAGAAGATAAAAATATGACACTCAAAAATGTACAATCTATTTTGATGTGAACTATAATAGGAATACACACTAGGCACATTGAAGTATACCGTAAGGTATTTTTTGAAAAGAAACACGGACGCTATTGTCTGGGCTAATTCGAATACACAATAATTTCTGTTAAGAAGATCGGGTATCTGGTAGGATGTTTTTTGTGTACCGTAATTAGTTCTTATTTTAGGTTTTGAAAACTGCTGGTGTCTCAAATTGTAATTTGTTTGCTTAAATAAATATGTTTCGTAAAATATTGCGGGATTCGTGTTTATTTGAGTATGAACTAAAATTGCAACCTTTAGGCAAAAAAGATTGTCTGACGTTAATATTCCATGTTTAATAAAGCTAGGGGAAGTCGATTCAGTCCAAGGTAAATTATCAATTTACCTAACTGCGCGTTTTTGCAATGTAAATAATTGCTTAATATTACTTGCTGTAGTTGTCCCCCAGACCAATAAACAGTAATGCAGCCTGGAGTTCACCTGCTATTTCGCAGTATCGCCGCAGTTCTGGTGGTAGAGCTCTCATGCTCGGCCAGCCCGTAGAGCAGAACTCCAGACGTGACAGGATCCTTCCCGATCTCATCTTTGATCCGTGAGAGCGTGTTGTTGACGCAGGTAACAGATCCACTGTGAGAACTTCATACTCCAGAACGGCTTCCTCCAGGTCGGCAGCTTCCTTTTCTCCTGCTCCAGTAAGTGGCTTGCGTTACAGCACATCTGCCGGGTGGATCTTCTTTACCGGGATGTGGGAGATCGTTAAGCCATACTCCAGTAGTCGCATGCGGAAACGTTGCAGAAGAGGTCTGAGTTCATCTAGACGCTTCGTGGTGAGAAGTGGCACAAGGGGCTTGTGGTCAGTGTCAATATGAAATTGGAGCCCTAGGAAGTATGTGCGGAAATGGCCACTAGCCCACATGATGGCTAGTGCCATATTCTCAATCTGGGCATAGCGTTGCTCAGTTTCCGTTAGTGCCTTGGATGCATAACTGGTCATCGCTCGCCTTGGGACTCCTGGAGGAGCGCAGCACCCAATCCATTGGATGAGGCATCGACCAAGAGTGTCAAGTGGTCTCTTTGGTTGTACATTGCCAATGCCGAGTTTGTGATGAGAGCTGCCTTGGTCTGCTGGAAGGCTTGCTGCTGAGCCTCTCCCCAGTACCAGACTGCATCATGACGAAGTAGGTCTCTCAGTGGTTTAGTTTGTCAGCGATAAGAGCAACAGTAGCGGGCACGGCACGCACAACCGAAGCAGCAGTGGGAGCAGCGGACACGCTTAACTGCGCAACAACGCCGGTCCAACGTGACGGATCAAAAAGCAGCGGTTCAAGCGGGAAGCAGCTACTTCAACCCGATTTCAACACAACTGCTGGAAAAGTTCGACTTTCACCAGCCGCACACGTGGAAGACGTGGTTCACGAGATGGCAACGCTACAGGATAATCACCGAGTTGCGTCTCCGCTCTCAAGAAACGCAAGTAAACACGTTTACGCCATGGGCCGCGAAGGGGAGGACGTTCTTTGTTCTTTGAAGCTGACTGAGGACGAAGGCAAGAACTACGAAAATGCCACCATGTACCGGTTGGGCAGGGAGTCAGTACTGTCCGGCGAGTTTGCGTTTATTGTTTTTTCCGGGCACCCCCCGTCTCCCAAGCGGTGGCGCCTTCTCTTGGCCACTCGCCTAACCCTCCGACACTTTGAATAATAAGCATCCATTCATTGACGTGCTGTAACACACTGGATAATTTCAAAAATATATTAACTTATTGGTGGTTCCCAGAACTGATGAAAAAAGTGGTTCTTTTGCTAAAGAGATTATATGGAAGTGATAGATTCCAATGTCTAATGCACTACAAGTAGCAATGCCAACGTGTCTAATTGTTTTTCTTCCGTATTCTATGTGCCTGCTTAAGTACCATTCACTTTACTTTGTATGAAGCAAGTTATGAAGGACAGTAGTTGCGCAGGCATGTAGAACACATAAAAAAAGCATTTCAATTTCGTGTCACTGGCGAAAGGCATTTAAATTTTGTGTCACTAGCGAAGAGCAATCGTGATGTTGCAGTCAAGAGGAAATTGCGTCATTTTCTGTTTGTTTTTAATAAGGCGTCACTTCCCGTACGTCGCAGGCCAGCATGACTAGCGGCAATGCCGCACACCTCACAAATGGCGCTGCACCCAATGAGCCGCCATATTCGCGCCTTATGAGCTTCCATGGAAGCTTTGGTACCATTTATACATAGAGCTTGGATTAGTGATGTGCGAATTATTTGCGTTGGTGGGATATAAGATAGACCGTGACGACAGCGGTTGTCCCTAGAAGAAATATAAGACTTCCGCCCCGTTACGTGCGGGGATTTCAACCCAGACTTTTTGTACAATGTCTTCTGGAGCGGCAACATAACAACCAAGGGGGGCTACTACCACGCGCAGACTGTCAACGTGCCAGGTATGCCGAAAATTCTCCCCCCTAGCATTCCTCTTTTTATAAGTAACTGGTTGATCGAAGTGCATATAACCAAATGCACCTTAATTCAACAATTCCAGAATCTGAAGAACTGTGCGATGTAGTGAGGTGAACGAAGAAAAGGCCGCTCTCAAGCGCAAAGTCAACAGAGTTCATCGAGATGCGCAAGAAGCCTGGAGTGGTGAAAATTAAAGGCAGCTTGCTCGGGTATCGGGTTCCAGTGCGCACCCTGCGGAGCTGCAGACGAACGGGCCCCTGTCCCGAAGCGATGAGCCGCGAGGCTCAGGCTTGTGAGGTGGAGTCTCAGGAGAGGTGGCCTTCTAAGAGCCCGAAAAAGAAGGCTTGCATGATCCCGTCAGTCCTACGCCGCTTTAAAGAGAGCATTGAGACTATGGACAGGCAAGCTCAAACAACTTCCTAAATACATCTTTACCCGCTGCCCTTTGACAGACATCCACAAGCTTGCGAGTGGCAACGCCCCCTTGCTACTCTCGCCACGTGACGCTGCAGCCTTAGGCCACAGTTCACACAGTGAGAATAAAAACACTGAAAATAGACGAGGGACAGACACAGTTCTTCCTGCGTGAGCTGCAGTCTATCCAACACACTCTGCTAGAAGTACCTAGCCTTAACCCTTTACTGCACCTTGTTGCATATTCGCAACATAGCGATAAACGACGATAAAAACATCTACAAAATGCATTCAGTGCTAGTTCCGCACGTTGTTGCATTTCTGCAACATACATCCGCGAGGCGAGCCGTCCAGTGCTGCCATCTGTACTCAGGCGGCGAAACTGCTCTCTAAAAAGCGTGACAGCCACCACGTGGACGCTCAACAAGTGACACAGGTAAGCCTTGACTACTGCATATCACGTTCTATACAGTGTAATGCAAAACAAAAAATTTGCGACTCAACTTAATGTCCTGCTGATTATGTAAATACTAAAAACCTTAAGATTATCGACGAAGTTTGTCTTTGGAAGCAAAAAATAGCTATGTTGCACAGATGCAACAACGTGCACGACGGTGTTTTTTCTTCGTAGAGCAGACACAATGGACCCCAAACGGTTTTACAGCCGTGGAATTCCTTCCGACAGTGAGGACAGCGAGCTCTCCGGCAGTGACGATGACTCTGATTGTAAGTTAATGTTTTTTTCTGGAAATCCAACTTTTTTTCACGTAGAGAATAAAATTAGAAGCAGTGTAGGCTTTATTGACAGAGATTTTCGGAAGAGACCATCCTTCGTCAGGTGTAACTACACACAATTGCAAAGTTGTAGGGTTGTTTTCACGCTTTCAAAGAGCACACTTAGAACCGCCAGGGAAGATAGTCCCCTATACAATGTAGAATTTCTCTCCAAATTATTTATTTTACTGCTCATTGTATGAGTTGTACGAGACGCTGTTATTTTTTGTACCCCAGATGTCCAACCCCCTGCAAAATGTAGTGCCAGTTCAAGCGAGGCGAGTACAAGCTCTGACGAAGAGGAAGCTCCCGCAAGCCAACCAGCTGATCAGTCATCAACTCAATCTAAGAGAAGAATTATCTGGAAGAATGCAAGCCTGATGCGGGATCCTGAAACAGTGAAGTTCACTGGACAAAATGAGCTTCCGCAGGAAGTTTCAGAGTTGGAAACACCTTTCCAATACTTCAAGTTCATCTTTCCAGGCGCTCTTATTTCGCTTATTGCAAATGAGAGCAATTTGTACTCAGTCCAGAAGGATGCCAGTAAGCCCCTCTGCACCAGTGCCGAGGAGATTGAAGTTTTTCTAGGCACCTGCATGTGGATGTCTATAATTCAGCTGAAGAACACTAGGTGGTACTGGAGTGAAGCTACCAGAGTAAGCCAAGTAGCTGACCACCTCACGGTGACACGCTTCGAACAGTTGAAGCACAACCTTCACTTTGTGGACAACAGCTCTCTCGGCCCAAGAGATGATCCTGATAGAGACCGGCTTGCAAAGATACGACCGCTCGTCGATGCTGTAAATGAACAGTTGTCGCTGATACCGCTTGAAGAGCACTTGTCTGTGGATGAACAGATTATACCTTTCAAAGGCGCAAGTGCACTGAAACAGTACTGTCCCCAGAAACCAAAAAAATGGGGGTACAAAGTATTTTTTCTCTCAGGAGTAAGTGGCTTCTCGTACAAGCTAGAACTGTACACGGGACAAGAAAACTCTGCCCCAAGACGTGCAGGAGAGCCTGACTGTGGAGCAAGCGGGAACATTGTTGTTCGATTGTGCAGGTTAATCCCAAGAGGAGTCCACCACAAAGTGTATTTCGATAACTACTTCAACTGTCCAACCCTTCAGGTGTACCTGGAAAAAGAAACCGTGCACTGCATTGGTACAGTTTGGATCAACCGAGTAACGGGTATCAGCATGCCATCTGACAAGGAAATGAAACAGAAAGGAAGGGGAAGCTTTGAAGAGAAGGTAGCGACCCTGGATGGCATTCAGCTGTCGTGTACAAGGTGGCAAGACAACAGAGCCGTCACCTTGCTGTCCACCTTTGTTGGGGCAGAGCCTGTCCTAACTGCGCCAAGGTGGAGCCAAAAAGAAAAGGAGAGGCGCGACATACCGTGTCCGTCGGTGATAGGCGCTTATAACAAGCACATGGGAGGAGTGGATCTCTTAGACTCTCTGATCTCCCTCTACCGCGCCCATCTCCGATCGAAGAAATGGTACTTTCGTATTTTTCTTCATATTCTCGACTTGACGGCTGTAAATGCCTGGCTGCTGTACAGGAGGAGTGCCGAGACTACTTCCGATCAACCAACACGAAAGCTCATGCCATTAGCAGAGTTCAAGGTGGACCTCGCCACGTCACTCTGCAAAGCAGGAAAAAATCAACTGAAGAAAAGGGGAAGGCCCAGCAATGAGTCCGTGGAGCAAGGCATCCAGCTGAAGAAGACAAGAGGTCCTTCAGCACCGTGTCCACCTCAAGATGTCAGGATTGATCAGGTATTATCACTGGCGAATTAATCTGTGTTACAAACCTCACTGTTCATACTTCTATGCTCAGGTTGGCCACTGGGTGCTTTGGAGTCAGAAGCGACAGCGTTGCAAGTTTCCTGGATGCAAGGGCATTTGTATGAGCTACTGCTCTAAGTGTGGCACTCACCTGTGCTCAACAAGCAAGAATAACTGCTTTCTTTTGTATCACACAAGCAAATGAGGCCACATCTCTCACTGATGTCTGTAAATACAAGTTTGGCTCTGGTTCACTAATTTTTAGCATTCGGCTATAAATATTTCGTTATTTCCATCTTGTTGCAAATATGCAACATACCTATCTTTTTTCGATATAAATTTTTCCGAAACTTCGAAATTTCTTTTAGTGATAGTATTGTGATAACTGTGGTATTCTACTTCTGCTGGAATAAAATTGTGAAAAAATAAAAAGTTGTGCAGTAAAGGGTTAAGCCACTCGTCGACGCTTGCCGTCTGTGTTTTCTCCAAGACTTCAACACGTACAGCTGTTATTGGCCTCTTCGCCCAGCTGCCCGCCACGGCCCAGTACGTGCTGAGCGCCCCAGGCTCCGCCTGGGTGCGAAACGGGTGCGACGACAATGATGTCGAGGCCAATCCAGGTCCGGTTCGCACCCCGTTGAGCATGTCTGGGGTCGCTGCCGACTGTGGCTACTCAGACTGCTTTCCTCAGAATTTCCAGCAGCGGTCGTATGCACAATTTAATGCGGAGGAAGCGTGGTGTGCCAACATAAAAATAGCTTTTTTGTTGTTGTTAGTGTACTGCAGTGATTTTACCAGTTTACATGTGGTTCTCAACAAATTCCGCTTTTTGTGTGAGTCCTTGCAACGAGACATTAGTTTTTATTTTTGCTAACATATCCATGTATGAATGTGTGCGTTCTACGCACTGATTATACTCATCAACTTAAAAAAGCTAATTTTGCACATAATTCATGCGCTGTACGATGTAGTTCTGCCATATACAGCTGCTACAAAACAGAAAAACACAGTTCTTTTGCATCAGCACCTTCATTACACTGCTCAACAATAGCTTGCCATATTTTCCAAGGTCGATCTGGTAAGTCCTAGCACCAATACCAGACAAGCCATTGGTAATTCAAAAGGAGCCTAACAATGCCTTTCGGTTTGCGAGTTCGTGTGCATGCCATTCAGAGTGAAAAGCACTCCGACGAACTTTCCGTGATCTGTGGACCAGGTGTAACAAGGACTTCCATTCCGTTATGCCTACATTCACCATATTCTCGTTGTACTGATGGCATCTTCATATTCTAGTAGCTCTTTTTAAGCTGAGTGTCGTCATGCACTCCACAAAAAGAAGAGGTGCAGCAGATTAGTAACCATCCGAATGTTTAGCTACTTACCTACAGACTTATTTTTAATGTTGAAGCAGATTACAGTCATGCTGAGATGCTGGGACAAGAAGTTAACTGGACAAGCTCTCCGAGCACTTACTCTCAACGCTCTTGATACAACTCAACTTCTGATGCCATGCTTCAACATGCATAAACCCTGTCCTAGAAAAAGAAATCTCTAAGGTGCCAATTTCCCGCACAGCTGGATCCGAACCGCAGCAGAACACCCTTTAGTCCAGGGTACCGTCCTAGGTCATACCGTTACTGCTGTGGCCGAGGATCAGTTGTAACCATGGTGCCACCTGCTCAGCGACCATGGTGAGGGATACAAGGATTCAGCGTCTGGCTGCTCCTCTTCAAGTGTCATCGTTTTGCACGCCATGTTACACTGATGACAAGTTTCCATATCAAAGTCATATAAAGACCTGATTGTCTCCTTAGTTAGGAATGCCAAGAGTGCAGAAACTTGTTCCAGCTGGGGAGAAAGAGAGGAAGCAGCCAGCACTTGGTTGTATGGGCTTCTGCCTTTTGGCTGCCTCAGGCACTCGGCTGTGTGGAAGTTGTGCCATTAAACACCTTGAACCTTGAACCTTACTGCATATGAACAATTTATTGATTACAGTGTGACTGCTGGAGATAATTTTTGCTCACTAAACAAGGGAAACTGCTGTTCTTGCAGCTCCTGCCATGGAGCTAATCAAAACCCTCATGATCTTGAAGGACTTCGCAACTTGTCTTGTTGAGGAATTATGGTATGGAACTTCTGCCGATCTCTTAAGACCCCAGCTCTCAACAGAACTTTCTTTGCTTTCCGATGGGGGAGTAGACAGGGGCGGGGAGCCACTGCCGCCCTTGTTGCCTTCATAAAACTAACACGCCTCTTTAGCAGGAGGCTCCAGCGGTTCTGACATAAATATATAATCTTCAATTTGATGAACACACACAAAGCATCACAAAATGCTGGCAGAGCAGTTTTCAACAGATGAAGCCATGTAGAAACTCAACTTATTGGGCAAACTTCACCTCAGCATTACTGGACATACTGAAGGATGCGCTCTGGCACATAATGCGCGTGCCCACACCTGCCTTCAGAGTGGTGCAACCAGTCCATGCCACATGCAAATCAGAAATTCAGAGCCCACATCTATTGTGCACATGCATGATGGAGTGGTGCATGTGAGCAGCTCACTAGCTATCTAGTAGTTTCAGTTATGGCACAGCTTGGGCTCGCCACGATGCGTGCTTTGTTTTGGAATGTGGCACTTTTTTCAATTTTTTTAACACTGACCAATCGAAGCTGTATGTTCTTGGTTGGGCTACTGTTATATTTATTTTGCTTCTTTTTTTTTTTGAGTTTGTGAATTTCAGTAGGTAAAGTTTTTTTTATATTATTAAGGTTTAATGGTACTTTATAGTAAATTAGCTTCATGTAGAGCTGTAATTACAATATTTAATCAATGGTGTCCCCAAACTTAGAGGTTACCTGCATTTGCTAACTTCTAAAGTTGTGAAATAAACTATGATATACGGTAGTCAGCATTGAAATACAATAGGTTGCTCAAACTAATTAAATATTAAGAACGTTCCTAACATATTGTATACCAATTGGACGAATGCCCCCCGATATCCCCCGAATGTCTCCGATGTCGGAGGCCCCAATCTAAAAATTGGGGGCCTCCGATATCGAAGACATCTGATCTGTGGGAGAAGGGTCGGAGAAGGACGTTCCAGAGAAATCCTGGACGCACTTGAGGTAGCGTCGTACATCTACGCGAATTACGGTTCAGAGCAGTTGTTGCTCGTGAGGCTGCTTTGTTGTTATCCGTTCGTGGTTGAGTCTCAGAGAGAGGACATTGAATAAGTTTTTAAGAACTCCCATGTTCTCTTTCAAATCTCTTCTCAAAAGGCAGTATGGCCTCATTCTCCGTGGAAAGGGGAATGCCGTCGAACTTAGAACAGTGGAGGGCCGAGATGCGGCCAGGCTTGACGATGACCCGTTTGCTACTGTCATGTGGGCTGTCCGGCACCGTCTGGTAGAGTCCACGCGTATTAGCACTCGGCGCTTTCCACTGACTCCCCTTTGCACCAACAATCTGACTGGCATCATAGACCTGCAAGGATCATGGGAAGATGATCTGTTTGCTAAGCGTGTCGAGGCACTTGAGGCAGAGCAGGACCCGCTCATCAGGGACCTGCTGGAGGCCAGAGCGGCTTGGGTTGCCGACCCGAGCCTCATTAACCCTATGGCCTTGTCCACCACTATAACTCGTGCCTTTGGCACTCACAGAGTGCGTCGTGTCTTTCCGGATCTACCAGACCCAGTCCTGGCCGATATCTCGGTTGACGACTTCTTTGCTGGCAAACGCGGGTCCGTGACGCTGCCAGACATTGGGGAGGCCAAGGAAGGTCTTCGCGCGACCTTGTCGGCAGTGGCCACGCAGCGGGGTCTGGCAGTGACGTGGAAGGGAGATCAACTTGAGGTGGTCGGGACCTTCGACTTGTTTAAATGTATCAACGGTCCCACCGTTGACATACCAGACTTCCCGGCCGAGTGGGTACAGCAGACTCGACGTCATAGCGAGACTGTCGGAGTCTCGCGGTCGAGAGGAGCCCTAAGCCGCCGCCGCGGGCCCCATTCGTTTGGGACCCGTTGCTCCGGCTGGTGCAGACGGCGGGGAAACATCAGGAGGGGGGCTGCCCGATCCTGCCCTTGTCGTTCAATGTCAGGGATCTTGTCGCCAAAGATCACAACTCGCTCTCTCCGGCGGAGAGCCTCAGATTCCGAGGAGGCGAAGACGGTGAGGCCGCCTGGCTGGCTCTCCCGAAGAGCAGAAGGAGAAGTTTTCAAAGGCGTTTCCGATGGGCTATTCCCGGACGGCTGAGGAGGTGGCCCTAGCTGCCATGGCCTGCCTTAAGCGGATCGGGGGCAATATCATACCCCCCGATCTCCTCGTGCCTGTCACTCCTGGCCCAGCGGGGTGCTTGGTCCCTTCGTATGTCGGTGTGGACCAAGAGGGTCGGCGGATAGTCGGCCGTACACCGGGATGGGGTTGGGGGCGATGGCGCAGCCGCGCCGGTGTCTAGGTGAACGAAGGAAGTCGCGCCCAAGGTAGCCATACGTGGTGCGCGTCGGGCTGTCCGGGGGGCCTTGCTGAGAGGGGGTTCGCGGCTAGGTCAACGAACGCGGTGGCCTTCGTTGACCTAGCCAGAGGGGAGACTAACCGTCACGTGCCCGGGGCGTCCCCGGCCGTAGCACCCGCCGTTCATATAAAGCTAACGCTGCCTGGTCGGAGTTCGGGTGTGAAAGCCGGTGGCGCTTCGGCCGCATTCGGAGCCCTCCTATGTCCTTATCCATGGATGCGACCTCACGCCTTCAAAACTGAAAACCGGACATGATCTCAAGTTTCAAGTTAAGAACTTCCATTCATCCTACCCCTAAGGCTAGTCTATATAGAGCTATGACTTTCATCGCTATGGGCAGGAGCCAGCTGAGTTTGTATTGCTTGGAAGGTGGAGGGGTGATGTGCTAGGGAGCTAAACCCCGTCCCTGTCTCCCATATTGTCTGCTATAATAGTTTAAAATGTCAGTCAGAGAGAAGCGGCAGGGCGAGGCAATTGCCCCCCTTGCCTTGCCCTCTTCTTCCGATGCCACTAATAGGGTATGCAAACTTGGGGATTCCCTGCCATAAATAAATGCAACCCCTTATGGCTGCCACTGCATACAAAGGAAAAAAAGAGAGATGTGGTTCATTTTTCTCTTAGATGTTCATATCAGAGGGGATACAAACAGTCGTGGGTAGTTGCGGCTGAGTGAGCCAGCAGTGAGTGCTGCCTAAGTGTTCGATTCGGACTCTCGTTTAATCGGCAAGAAAACAAGTACCAGACAACTATTGGAACGTATCCTGTGAATGGCTCCTGGGATTTTCGCAAATGGTCTCTTGTCTTACAAATGAATGCACTCCTATTAACTAAGGGCACTTAGCGAGCTATATATCCGAGGGTAAAGGCTAAAAACAATGGAAAAGTAACAGAAACCAACAACACTTCTACTTGTTCATTGTTTTTAGCGCTTTTTCCCTCGGAAATATGGATCACCAACTAGCCCAAGTGCATACCCTTCTACACTTAGTGAGTTGCTTCCTCCCTTCTCATACTGCTGAGTCTACATTTAAGCATTCATTCTTCACAGGAGGACCGACACGACAGATTGACCTATCCGGTGATGCGAATTGACAAAGAGGACTCAAAGGCCATAACTGCGGTGTTGGAGAACCACTTATTTGAGGTGACGGACGGATTGGGCACTTCATTGATTTGAAGTACGATATAAAGTCTGCCTTGGCTTTGGATCTCATCACAAAGTAAGAAACTTGTTCACCAGAGGGAATATGTGTGCCATTTTTGCCTTTTTTTCCCATGTCCTAACATTAAAGTGTTGGCTTATTGAGCTCTATTCTACTTTTTTTATCCTTTCTATGCTGACTTTTCATGAAAACCTATGGCCTCCGAACAGGCTCATGCTCCCTCTTTTATGTCCTTTTTCAGCTGCACTTCCACATTTCCAATGCAACCCTCCCCTTGTGAACATATACATAGCTGCTTTTAGATTTTAGGGCTACTGTTCATTGCAAAGTGCTTGAGTTGTCTCAAGTTGTATGTAGCAGCTCCCATAATAAGGACAGAAGTACTATTCCACATTACAGAGAAATCAAGGGAGGTATTGAAATTTGATACAACAGCTGCAAAAATAAAAGTACAGTGGTCGCACTTCAACAGGCTAAAAATGCCACTTGCCAGTAGAGTTTTTTTTGTTTCAGCAAACGTTTGACTAACAAGGAGCCAATTGTACACTTCCCTTCCCCTAATTCTGTTAGCAGGCATTTACGTTACTTTTTACTGGGTGATTTTACACTCAGCACATAACACTATACTTGAGCAGAGTTCGTGTGAACCCTTCCTGGAAAGTGTGCTTAACTGTTTAATACTGAGTTTAGGCAACACTTCCAAATGGGGTTGTACTTACTCTACAAAATTCTTTAGTGCGAGTAATTAAATCCCCACTTCAAGTGTTGCCTAACTCTGTATGAAAGAGTAAAGCAGTCTCCAGGAAGGGATCATATAAACTGCTAAGTTTGCTGTTATGTAATATTAATTCTTGCTATAGAGCACACTAAACTTTTTAATACGGAGTGCAGGCACCATTTCTAAGGTTACAATAACTCTTCCTGGAGAGCGTGCTTAACTCTTTAGTACAGAGTTCAGGCAACACTTTTTCTTACATACGACAGACTGGTAGTCGCTTAAACAATTGTATTTAGGAGCAAAAAAGGGCAGTTAAAATAATGCACCAAACTCTGAAATTCAAAACCTGTAGACAGTCCTGACTCTTGCAAAACCATTTGTGTGACTATAGAAAAGTTAAGTGAGCACTCGTATGGGAGAGTAAAACATACACTAGTCGTGGAAAGGTAACGATTACCTATCCCTAGCAGGGATAGGCGGTATTTCAAATACAAGTAATTGAAATATGTATTTCAAATACTTTGTGTATTTTGAATTTCTATTTAATTACAAATTGGGTAATGCATTTGACGTGTGTATTTAAATACTAAAAGGTGGGTATTTCAAATACAATTGTAATTAAATACAATTTTGTGGGCGAAAATACATCCCTCAAATTTATTGGCACTGTCCAGAGCAGAAAGAAAACTACGTTCTGCACCGAATGCAGTGTCTCTTAATCAAGCACAAGCGTTTAGTGACTTTGTGATTACGGTGCTAGTCCAGGGCAAGAATAGTGATGAAATCGACGTTCACAGGCAGACTGGCTAAATAAGCGCCTGTGACAACTTGTGATGCTTTCCAGCCTGATTTCCATCCATAATTTTGCCTGGAACATTCTAAATGCGTGTGTCGTCCAGATTTTCGTTAACTGGTGCGAGTTGCAACAATAAAAAATTCTTTAGCTAGTGCTCCGTGTCTTGGTCGTCTCAGTTCTTTGTTGGTCAATACCAACATGTAATCGACAAAAAAAGCTGCTTGAGGCTCTGTACTTTTTCACCTATTACGTCCAAGCTGATTACATTTTTTGTGATTATATTTCTATTACGTTACTAGAGCCTCGCAAACTTACTCCAGAGTGTGCGTAGAGATACGTAGAAACCCGTTGCAGGTGCCCTGAAGTCGCTCTCGCAAATTTTGAGGAATGCATTTAGAAAAGTATTTGGAAGAGAACAAATACATTTGGTTGTATTTGTATGTTGTATTTAAATGCTTTTTGTAGCGTGAGCTACACTGGCCGAAATTGAGCAGTTTCGCGTGGCTGGCATAATGAGCCATGCTCCGTGCTGCGCAAGTGCGAGGAGCAGTGACGTCGCACGGCGCACAGCTGGCGGGGCGGAGGCCAAGTCGCCGCGGGCTCCGCCGCCACCGCGCTCGCCTCGCCAGTCTTCGCATTCCAGAGGAGTGACGTCACAGCCACGGCAGACGCACTGGCGGCGCCGCGTGCCCAGCTATGTGCCTCCGTTGCGCAGTAGCCAAGTCTGACGCTGCACCGGAGCTGCTTGATAGCACCTCTCATTTTATGCGCCTAAGCTCACGCTACGTATATCCTGGCATAGCCGAGCTAAGCCACCGCAATTTTTTTAAATGTAATTAGACTCGTAATTAAATACATTTTTGACGAAGTATTTTTGTATTTGTATTTTGATACATATTTGCATGTATTTTTTATATCCCTGGTCCCTAGAGAGAGTATAGCTTGCGATAACCCGGATTCTCTCCAAAAAGAGTACAGTCAACACCCGTCCATTCCTTTTTTAATTATTTTTTTAAGAGTGTAGAGTTAACATAATAATCCGAAACGAAAGGTCCCCTGCGTTTGGCCGCTTCGAAATGGCGGAACATAGAAGCGGAGATCGGCGGTCCCAGTTCGCGATTTCGATGAGCCCTATCGCTGCCGAGGCCTTTATATGCACCAAGATGCAGCCAAACATCACCAGTAAAGTCTTTACCTTGTTATTTTCTGTCTTTGCAGAAGAACACAGGAGTCGCGCAGTGATAAATTTAAATAAACCTGACAAGTGCTCGAGCAACTTCAACTTGTCGCGGCAAAACGAACACGCCTAACTTTTTGTTTGCTTTATTTCTCTGCCTTTTTTCGCTCTTTCTCTCGGGACTGGAGATGTTAGCGCCCAGGACTTGCCGTGTTCTACTCCTGTCTTTACCCGCCTGGTTGAGGTTGTGCCGGCGTGTCCGTTGGGAGCCATTCATAATGTCGGCAAACCGATTGCTCGAGCGTTGCCTTGTCCTGGTTCCTAATGATTTCCGGAATTCTAGAAAAACCAATATTGCTGGCCGTGGCTCCGTTGACACCAAGTTTTACGGCTAAAACAATCACAGAGCAACTGACTGTCTTCAACCTCGAGTGGGTGCACAAAGTACCATGCAGACAAGGCCCCAAAGGACACAAAACATAGGATAACAGCAATGAATGCCTCCAACATGGATTCCAGTGGGTTTTGATCAGATCCACGAAGAGGTAGCAGCATTGAACCATGGTATTGTGCAACAACCCTATACTGGTAACAAGTTACTGCTCCGTTCTAATTTACAACCAACTGTCTTTGACACTTTCAATCCAATCCGAGATCCAATCCGCTGTCACTCCGTGCGTGTCGCCAGCATTGCTCGCCTTGGTTGCTCTGGTTTCTCACTTTCGCTTGTTCCTTCGATAGCTTCTTGCCAACCAGTCGTTCCACTACCACCTAGAGGTTGAGAGAACTAATTCGTAGTGTTCACAATGATCTACGGGTACATAAAGTACATGAAAGGCGGGAAACGGGCCATTTTGCCATTTTCTCTCATCCTAAGGTTCGCGCCGAAGTCGACCGAGGACCTCACTCCTACTTTTGTGAAAGCATACTAGTAAAAGCCAAGTGAAGAAAAGGAAGGCTAATAAGATGCCAATGTGATCCAACCTGGCAGTAAGTATAGGGTGACTGAAATAACCAGGCTCGATCTAAAATGGGCCATAAAAATTGGCGCCTGCACATAGCAATCTGAACTTTGTGTCAAAGGTATATTTCACAGGTTGGTTTTTGTAAAATTACAAAGCGTAGCTCCCTTTCTGCAAAACATAGGGCTAAAAAACTTGCAAGGGTCAACAACGGATGGCGACGTAAACGACCAAGTCGAGCGGCGAGGCGCGTTTGGCGTCCGGTTTTCCGCAGCTCGCCAAGGCCTGGCTTCAAGACGCGCCCGCCGCAGCTCGCAAGACTCCCTGACGACTACAAGATCATCATCCGTGCACGTGGTGGCCTCAACCTAAGCTCGATGAGCACAGGCAAGCTGCAAGACTTCGTCTTTAACACTGCCCAGACCAATTACAACGTGGCACGCGATGATAAAATTCGAATCAATGCCATTCAAAACTATACTACTCAGCACCCCCTCTGAAGGGCGAAGAGAACTATTTTCTGGCCACATATATGGCAAATCCTGCGAAGATCTCACGCGGAATCATCTTTAATGTGCCAGATTACGGTCCACCGGAGAACATCAGCCAATACCTAATCGACTGCAATCACGACCCGGCTATTCTCCTTGCCCGTCGGATGTCTCTCATCACTGCCCCTCTCTACGGCAAAAGGTCCAAACCCTACGGCAAAAGGTCCAAACTCTACGGCAAAAGGTCCAAACCCTCACACAATAAATCACTGCCGTTTAGAAGGAAAATGCAGACTTACGACCCCTCCTTAAACAGAAAGGTTACCCCTCCAGCGCCAACTCCTACTCCTCCCCCACAACCCGTTGCAGTTGCCATATCCTCACCTGACAGCACCGCCCAGTCTGTCAAGCGTAGAGTAATCAATACTATGGCCTCAAAACCGTAGACAAATTACACCGACTCAGCGTCAATGACCGAAATGTCTCGCATTTTCAGTGGCAGACTGCAAACCTTAGAGCAAAACGTTACAGCCGTTGTACGGCGATAGAAAACGCTGTCTCAAAGTACTCCTCCAGATTGGCCCAACTCACCAGTCAAATAAACCAACTCACCAACATCTCATCCCAGTTGGGGTCCTAAACTCCTCCACCACCCCCACCATCCATACCCTACCTCTAACAGTGCATCCCTCAATATGGCTTTACCTCTCCCACGCCCGCCACGCCTCAGTAGGCACCAAACCACTATCTGGCAATGGAATTACCACAGCTTCCGACTGAAGCGTGGCTATCTTTAACACTGCCTCCAGTCTTTCCAAACTCCCCCCGATATCATAGTGATTCAGAAAACCCGCCGCGCGGTCAAACTAGCCGTCTATAGAGCCTTCCAAACTCCTGACAACGAGGAACCCAA